AAAAAAAAAAAAAAAAAAAGAAAGAAAAAAAATATATAGTATAAGATTGCTCATAATCACAACATTGTTCACAACAGTCAATAGTCTGAACCTGGAAATTTCCAAATGTCTACTTGCAGTAGAATAAATGAATACACTATGATATGTTTTAAAAATGAATTATGTACAGTAGTGATGATTCTTTTTGTTTGTTTGTTTGTTTTTTGTTTTTTTGGTACTGGGGATTGAACTCGGGTCCTTGCACTTGCAAGGCAGGCCACCGAACCGCTGAGCTAAATCTCTGGCCCGAGTAATGATGATTCTTACAAAATAATGCTGAACAATGAAAGACATTCATAAAATTTCAATGTTTCACCATACAAAATTGAAAAACCAGGAAAACTAACTATGTGGATTAGAAATGCACACAAAAATGACAAAATTTGAGGAACAGTATGGAATGACCATCATGAAAGGATAAGGAATTGAGTGTTCTGGACTGACTTCTTGGGCACTGGCACTGTTTTCTATTTTGACCTTAGTAGTAGCTGTCTTATTTGTAGTTTTTTTTTCTTTTTTTTACATTTTACTTATATTTTATTCTATGTTTAATGTTTTAAAACTTATTATAATGTAGCTTTCCTATATATTGTACTTAATAATTTTTTTTAAAGGTTTAAAGTTACTGGTCAAGGGAAACATATGTTAAGGTTAGAGATAAGTGACTCTATAAACCTTGAAACCATTCATTTTGCTTTAGTTTTTAAAAGCCAAAAATATGGATTGTAAAAAGAACACAAACATGAACTGAGAGACTGAAAGCAGGAGTTAAAAAAGAAAAGACTGAAAAATAAGTAGTGCTAAAGTCACAGAAGAAAAGAAGACAAAGAATGAAATGGTCAACAATGGCATAGGTCAGAGGTTCCAAGGCCCTGGTCTGTGGCCTATTAGGGACTGGGCTACACAGCAGGAGGTGAGTAGTGGGTGAGCGGGCAATGCTTCACCTGTTTTCACAGCTGCTCCCATCACTAGCATTGGTGCCTGAGCCCTGCCTCCTGTCAGTCAGTGGTAGCATTATACTCTCAAAGGAGCAGAAAAGACTGGGGACCACTGACATAACTGATAGGCTCAAATGGGGTTAACACTGAAAAAACAGGAGAAAATCTAGTAATTAAGATTCCAGTAATCACTTTATGAACAGCCAACTACTTCTAACATACTCTTAAATTTCATTATCTCATACCTATTAAAATAGCTATTCTCAAAAAGATGAAAGACAAGTGTTGGAGAGAAGGAAATCCTTGTACACTGTTGGCGGGAATGTAAATTAGTACAGCTAAAATGGAAATTATTATAAAAGTGTCTCAAAAAATGAAAAATAGATTTGACATACGTTCTGTCAATTCCACTACGGGGTACATATCTTTTTAAAAAATCGGTATTTTGAAGAAATTTTTGTAGCATTATTCACAATATCCAAGATATGGAACCAACCTAAGTGGAATAATATTCAGCCCTAAAATGAAAGGATATTCAGACATACACCATAACATGAATGAACCTCAAGGACATTATGTATAAGTGAAATAAGCCTGTCACAAAAGCACAGAAACTATAAGATTCCACTTCCATGAGATAACGACAATATTAAAGTAATGACACAAAATGTAAAATCATTAGTGGCAGGGTCAAAAGAGGAGCTGAGTGGGGAACAGGAGAGAATGGGAAGTTAGTTTAATGGATACAGAGTTTCAGTTATGGAAAATGAAAGAGTTCTGGAGAAAGATGGTGGTGATGCTTATACAACAGTGTGAATGTACTTAATGCCACAGAATTGTATACATGAGAAGAGCAAGTTTTATGTTATGTTACATTTTACAATAAATAAAAAAAAAAGGATCTGGAAATTAAAACAGAACCATAGTAATAAGGATGAAAATAAGTCGCATGCACAGGGAAGGGAAAACTACAACACTGTATTTATATGTACTTTATTATTTTCACTTAGTACCTGGATTTCAAGCTCAGCAATGTGTTGCTGTAGTTCAGCCACAGCCGCTATGCTATCTGCTTCTCGGAGTCTCACAGCCATTACTTCTTCCTTGTTCTAGGTTGGCAAACAAAACAAAATAATAAACCAGGTATGTTTGGAATTGAAATTTTTCCAGATTTCGGACATATACTAAAATTAGAAAAGTAAAATAAGATGTTATTAGTCACAAGTTAGTATTATCCCACAGCATTTATAATGAAATACTGACATATAAATATTTACACCAAGTGGTATAAAAAGAAATTATAGATGGACACAGTCAAGCAAATCAGAGTTTACTTCCAGATGAATTTGTGTAAAACCTATAAATAAACTTTTGGGTTTTAAAGTCTTTTAGATTTTGAAAATGGAGATCATAAACTTACACTATATCTTTAATTAAAATATTTAAATTCAGTTGTAGCAAAAAAATAAAGTTAATACTATAGACAATATTCAGACATTTTACAAAAATGAAGACTAAAATGAGCTTTAATAAACAACAAATTGCAAGCTACAATTAAATAAAACTCTACAAAAATGAATCAAATTTATATAATTTAAGGCCTAGCTCCCTTTAAAAAGTTGGATTTGTTCCTGAACTGTTCCAACACAACAAGGTAAAACATACATATATACTCAGAAAGTATTAGGTGCTAGGATGATAATACATGGTATTAATTATTAAAATCTTCAAAGGTACTACAAACAACAGAATAAATCAAAATATGGGAAAATATGAGACAGCATCTGTACCATATTTTATAAAGGTATTAATCCTCTACCTGTTCTTAAAATTTTCTAATATTCTGAATTTGTATCCATTATTCAGATAAATTCAAAGGGAAAATCATTTTCATCAGCAAGTTCCACAGATATTTATTTCCAAAAACATTTTACTTTGCTAACAGATCTTAAATACTTAGGAGCAATATTAAATCCAGCAACACTGTTACCAAATATTTAAAGAAAACTTACATCAATAATGATAAAAGATTAAATTTAGTTATCTAGTAAAGGTAAGTCAGCATAGACAATTTAGCATAATAAAGTCAGATAGTAGTATGACAAATCAGATTAATATAACCTCAGTCACATCATTTTACTTCTAAATTAGTCTAGTCATATTCAAAATGGACTATGCTTATATTAGTACAAATTTTAGTACTGCCTACAGATTTCTGTCAGTGTAAATTGTAACAGCCATGCATATTTATTAGGATGTAATTTCACCTCGGGATTTTAGTGACACTGATAAACCACTCAAGCTTCACTCCTGGTTTTTAATGACATCAGAACAAGTTGATGGAATTACAGCTTTAGATGTGCCATTGAAATAAATTGTCAGTACTCTCACAGAATACAATGGCTGGAATATGTAGTTAAAGGGCATCACTCTTACTATCTAGGAGGTGGATGCCTACTTTTATTTTAGAATCTCATAATTTGTGTTTGGTAATCCATTCTAATGGTCAGACTATATCCATCTCTTTAGTTATTACACACACACACACACCTTCTCTTCTACTTTACCCTTCAACCCCTCTCTTTGATCACTGCTAGATGATAAGTGTCAAGAAAAACATGCCCCTGATTTCAAATTATCTAGGAGGTGGATGCCTACTTTTATTTTAGAATCTCATAATTTGTGTTTGGTAATCCATTCTAATGGTCAGACTATATCCATCTCTTTAGTTATTACACACACACACACACCTTCTCTTCTACTTTACCCTTCAACCCCTCTCTTTGATCACTGCTAGATGATAAGTGTCAAGAAAAACATGCCCCTGATTTCAAATACTTCTTCTTTTTTCTTTTCTTTTTCTTTTTCTTTTTTTCTTTTTTTTTTTTTTGAGGTACAGGGGATTGAATTTAGGACCTGGAGCTTGAGCTTGCAAGGCAGGAATGGTGCCACTGAGTTAAATCCATGGCCCGATTTCAAATACTTTTGATTTTTTGATGGTTTATAATCAAACGCTAGCACACACACACACAAATACATACACACTGATTAAAAGAATAACACAAAATATATCCATTTTTCCTAACACTAGTACATACACAACTCTTATACTTTCTACTACATCCTGAAAACATGTCAATATTTACTGCTCACTAATATCAATCAAGAGAGCCCTAACTAATTACCTGTACTTTGGTTACATTACTAAAAGCTTCGGTTTTTAAGTCAAAAGAAATATTGTAAAATGACACTAAAAAAAAAAAAAAAAAACCAAAAAAACCAATGCAGGAAATTAAGATAACCAAGAATATGTTCGAAAATGAGGCTTATGATATCCATCCACTAAACAAGGTAAGTTAATCTGGTCTGAAATTAACTACCAAAACAAGTTCAAGAAATGCGGGAAGACTGTTTTGTTTTGGAAGAAAATCTAATCATCATGAAGCAGATCTATAAAAAGCATTACTACAATGACAAAAACATAAGCCAGCTATTTGATATATATTTACCTTGCATTCAATCTCGGCTTGTTTGCGTTTTGCTTCACTTAATTGAGTAAGCAGTCCTTTGTTCTGGGCAGAAAGATAGTGCACTTTTTCCTGTAGATTGGTCACCTCTTGTTCAGATCTTCGAAGATGATTACTATTGATTTGGTTCTAATAATCAGAAATACAAATATGCACACTATTGATAAAAAGACTAAAAGATTTCTACCACAACATTACAAAAATGTTATTAGTTATATGTTGATCATATTCAACAACTGAACACTGAAGAAAAAAAAAGATAAAAGCTGCTTTAAAAACCTAATCCGCCAAAGAAATGCATATGGCCAATATTAGAAACTCATAAACCAATATATCATTTATACAAAAACATCGGGGCCAGGGATTTAGCATAGTGGTATCACGCTGCTTTGCAAGTGCAGAGTCCTGAGTTCAATACCCAGGAACCCCCCACAAAAAAAATCTGTAAATGGTAAGGATGTTTATATACAACTTGAAGATAATCATTTTGGAAGAAGGCAATGAATACAAAGCGAGTAGAGGAATGATGAATTTAATTCCTCTTTCCAGTTCTCAAAAAGAAAGAAAGAAACAAACTGATCTAAAGTTAGCACTACTATTTACAGGACTGTAAATTCCTTCATATCACAAAGTGTGTCATGTGTACTTTTACATTCCTCCAGTATCATAGTCTCCTTTATTGAAAGACAAACTGGTTTTGAATTTTGGCTTTGCTACTTAGTAGTTAAGCTACCAGTTAATGGCTCAGATCCTCTATTTCCTCATTTGACAAATGTCTATAGGTATTTCCTATTTCTCATTTGCTTATCTTCAGAACTAAATGAGATAAGATATGTAAGAAATAATAATAATAATAATAGCCAGAATTTTGAAAGAGGGTCACTAAATTGTTCATGCTTGTCTCAAATTGGTAATGCTCCTGCTTCAGTCTCCTGAGTAACTGGGACTACAAACATATACTATTCCATTTGGTTCTTCATCACATTTTCCTGCCTCTCAGGAGAAATGTCTTTGTAAACCCAACCTCTATGTTATCCTATTCTTTTTCACTTTTATTCTGACTACAAAATTTGTTCATTCCCTCCCTCCCCACCCCTCTCTGAGACAGGCTCATGCTATGTAGCCCAGGCTGGCCTCAAACTCAGGGCAATTCTCTTGCCTTATGAGTGCTGGGATTACAAGCATGTGTCACCACCACTGGCTGTCTACAAAATTAATTGAACTTCTTAGTACCTTATTCAAAATGTTTCACAACTTCTTTTTACTGTCTTATCTACTAAAATTAAAACAAATATACTTCAGTGGGATGCATCTTCAACATAGATATATATCCTACAGATAAGCCCTTCCCTGCAGTCCTGAATACAAGACCACAATTCAAGATTACAAAACACACATAATATCCAAGAATTGACAATTAAGACAGAAATAGTAGACAAAATTTATAGCAAGAATATATTAAGAGCTCTAGGTAATAATTCTAAGGATTTTATATAAAATAAGTCATGTTTAAAATTATTAAAGATATAACAAGAAGCAAAAGCATAAAGTCACCAAACATTTCAGCAAACTAAAAAAATTAAATAAAATTTCTATAAATTAATATAGTCATTGATATTTTGAACACTCAATGAAAGGGTTAAGGAGAGATTGAAGTAATTAAAGAAAGTACTGTTCCACCACCTGCCTTGCAAGCACAAGGACATGAGTTCAATCCCCAGTACCAAAAAAAAAAAAAAAAAAAAAAAAAAAAAAAGAGTATCCCCAAAGAGACCATGACACAGAAAATAGAGCCCAAATGGCCTATTAGGGTTGCAGCATAAAAATTTTTAAAAAGTTAAATGGTCTAAAAGATGATGTATTTGAGAATTTTTTACAAATATATTTAAAAATAAAAAATATGAATCCACAGGAAGCTCTTGCCTAACCAGAATAAACACAAATGAATCCTTATCAAGACACGTACAACAAAACTTAGAATGGTAAAGAAAAGAAAAGGAAAAACTAAAATGATTGCAAGACAGTAAGAGAAAGCTGCATCCAGTGATGCACATCTATAATCCCAACAACTTGGGAGGCTGAGGAAGGAGGATCCTGAGTTTGAGCCAACCTAGGCAGCTTAGTGAGATGCTGCATCAAGGAGAAAGGGAAAGTGTTTTCAACTCTGGACTGAAATCTGCAAGAAACTGTCAAATGAAAGAATAGCAAAATACTGACCCAGGTAGACAAATCCAAAGGAGCACTGATTCTATGAAGCAACAATAATGTCTTAACAATTTGGAGGCACAAGATGTACAATAAAAATGTTTATAATGGAAATAAATACAGTTATTAATGTTAGGATTTTCAATCTTTTAAGGTAATAATCACTAATAGGAAATAAAAGGAATTATAAAAGTCAAACAGAACAGATAAGAGTGGGGAAAAAAAAACAGTGGGAAAAAATCTAACTCCAACAGAAACCTGGCAAGGGAGAAAAGGTATTATAATCAGGATTTTTATTTGACTGGAAATTCAAAAAAAAAAAGAGTACTGCTCTCATTCTTTTGATTAAATAAGAGAAAATGAAAGGCAGCCAAACTTTTAAGTTCAACCAGAAGCCCCCTAAGAGAGATGGGATAGGAATTAATACCTCTCTCCATTTTACAGTATGAAGATTGATCCTTTGGACTGGGTCATATCCTCAGCCCTTTTTCTTTTTAATTTTAAGGCAGAATCTCACTAAGTTGTACAGGCTGGGCTTGAATTCATGACTCTCCTGCCTCAGCCTTCCACAATGGTAGAGTTATAGGCACATGCCACAATGAACACCCTAAGCACTTACTTAGTTAAGAAAATTCACCTAGAAGAAAGAATTAGGGGAGGCCAAGTACTGGGTGACTTAAGAGAATATGAAGCCCTATAAGACGGTGATATAAAAGAGTTTACAACTTCTGCATTTTTTCATCATATAGCCCTATAGCTACATGCAAAGATTGGTGAGAGTCCTAAGAGACATATTCACGACATAGACTTGAGGGAGGGGCACTTAATCTTGCCTTTTCCTCCAAGAAATGAATGCTTTAATCTTTGTGGGGCTGGGCAAATAAAACTGTTGCCCTTGAGACACTGGAGAAAAACCACTGCATTTGTGGAAAATGGCAGGACTATATTTGGGCCTTAGAACCACAACTGGAGGTGGGCAATAACACTAAAAGGCCAAATATCCCACATACAAAAACATGATGCAGCCCTAAGACTGAGGGTCCATTAGAATACTTAATAACACCCTTGGCTCCTCCAAATTCCTGTAACAAGTAACAGGAATACTGAGGGGGGCAGACCCACTTAAGCAGGTATTGTGCAGAGGAAAGACCTAAAGACACACAGAAAAGCCTACTGGCAAAACCAGCCCATGCTCTAAAAATAAGGTATTGCTAAATGAATTTGCACTTGAAGGTGCACTGTAGATAACCACAGACAACAAACCTCAAACTTAAGTCTACCTCTTGCCTATATTGACTCAAAATTTGCATATGAAAAGCCTGGCAAAGTGTACCCATTTCTAGGCATAAAAATATTTCTTAGACCACCATCCTCTACAAAATATCAGGCTTTTAGCAAAAATTTACAAGCACAGGAGAAGGCAGACAAACATCCCAAAACACTACCTAGAGACAAAGCAATCAATAGAAACAGCTTCGCATTGACCCAGATATTAAAATTATCTAACAGAGAATTTTAAATAAACATGATTAATATGTCAAAGACTCTATGGAAAGATGAAAAATATTGAAGACCAGAAAGGTAATATCAAAAGAAAAATGAGAACTGTGAGAATCAAACTGAAAAGCCAGAAATGAAAAATAGTAGCAGTTGTAAAGAATGCCTTTCAGTAGCTTATTGGATACTTCAACAAAGGGAACTAAAGAATCAGTGGACTTTCTATGTCATAGAAATACCTCAATTAATAGAAGCTGAAAACAGAGTCAGAAAAAAATAATGAGAGTATGTGTGAAGGAGAGAACAAAGCATCCAAGACATGTAGACAGCATGAGATCTGGAGATGTAGCTCAGCGGTAGAGCATTTGTGTCGCATATGTAAAGCCCTGGGTTATTCCCTAGCACAACAGAACAGAACAGAACAGAACAGGAGTTGTTAGACAACATGAAATAACCCAACATGTGGAACTCAGGAGTGTATGGGCAGAAGAAATACTTGAAGACATAATGACCAGGAATTTTTCTCAAAGAAACAAATATTAAAAGAATCTAGTGATAGAAACACTCTACAATTCTTTAATCAAAGGAAGAATACACCAGACTGAAACATGGACATATACAAAGTAATAAGGGGTGCTGAAACAGAATTAACTGAAGGGAAAATAAATTTCTTGTAAAAAAATTAATTTTTATAAAAGATAACTGAATAAAAGTAAAATCAGCACAGAGTAAAAAATGTATGACAACAATGGGGGGCAAAATTGAGAATAAACTTTTAAGGACTAAAATCTAAAATTTATTAGTTATAATTAAATATTTACTATTTGAAGGAAAGATCTGACTGAAGATATGTATTGTACAGAAAAGGGGGGACAGGAATTTAGCTCAGTGGTGTCACCGCCTGCCTTGTTAGTGCAAGGTCATGAGTTTGATCACCTGTACCCAAAGGAAAAAAAAAGATATGTATTGTAAAACCTACAAGCAGTGACCTTGAGCAACCTATAGCGATCCTTTTACAGACAAGTGCCCAAATTGCAGCCCAAAACCCACTTACTTATTGCAAAGAGCCAATACGGCCATTAAACCTGAATGCTGAGATTTTAGTTTAGACAAACTCATACATTAAATCTTAAAAAAAAACCAAAAACAAATAACACACATGCCGTGAGTTCACCATCTCTGAACCAGAGCAACCACTAAAAACTTTCTCAAAAGAAACAAAAAAAAAGTCAACTGTGAAGATAAAATGAAACCAAAATGAAAGCCCAATAAAGAGCAAGATACATATTAATCCAAGTGGAATAAAAGGAGTATGGACGGAGCATGACAGCTAAGAAACTGAGACAAGACATTTTCAGTTTTACTACAAATACAGTTCATATATAAAATTCACTTGTTTGAAGTGTATATATAGTTTGGTACTTTTTTTTAGAATGTCCAGAGTTTTAAAAAGATCATGCTTGATCAAATTTTTAAAAGTAGAAGGCCTGATCAAAAAATATGGTGTGTAAAAAAAAAAATTTCTTTTTCCCCACTCCTGGGTAGGAAGAATCAACGTGAAAATGGCCATATTACCAATACTGCTATATAGAGTCAATGCAATTCCGATTGAAATTCCAACAGTATATTTCACAGAACTAGAAAAAAAGAATCCAAAAATTCAGTTGGAACCATAAGAGACCTAGAATAGCGAAAGCCATCCTAGGCAACAGAGACATGGAAGGGGTATAATAATTCTCAACTTGAAACTATACTACAAAGCCACTGTGATAAAAATAGCATGGTACGGGTAAAGAAACAGACCTGAGGACCAGTGGAACACATCAGAAGAAGCAGAAACAACTCCTGACATACTTAGCTACCTCATCTTTGACAAAGGAGCTGACCATCCCCACTGGAGGAAAGACAGCCTCTTTAATAAATGGTGTTGGAAAAACTGGATTTCAACCTGCCAGAGATTAAAACTAGACCCTTATCATTCACCATGCACTAAACTAAAATCCAAGTGGATTAAAGATCTAAATATTAAAACAGAAACACTAAATTTGCTGGAAGATAAGTTAGGCACAACTCTTGAAGGCACTGGCATAGGAAAAGACTTTATGAACAAATCCTCAGTAGCATGGGAACTAGCAGAAAGAATCAACAACTGGGATCTCATCTTATTAAAAAAGCTTCTGCACTGTAAAAGAAAACACCAAAAGATCTAAGAGACAACCTACAATGTGGGAAAAAATTTTTACCAGCTGCTCCTCAGACAAAGGACTATTATCTAGAATATATAAAGAACAAAAAAAATCAGTTCTCCCAAATATAAAGACCTGATTCAAAAATGGGCATCTGAAATGAACAGACATTTCTCAGACGAATTAAAGGCATCAAATAAATATAGGAAAAAATGTTCCACATCGCTGGTCATTTGAGAGATGCAGATGAAAACACTGAGATTCCATCTCAGCCCAGAAAGAAATCAACCAATAACAAATGTTGGGGTGGGGTGTGGGGAGAAAGGAACCCTTCTCCATTGTTGGTGGGAGACAGACTGGTGCAACCACTGTGGAAATCACTATGGAGATACCTCAAAGAACTAGGATTAGAGGTTCCATTTGACCCAGCTATCCCTCTGCTGGGTATCTTTCCAGAAGAATTAAAAGAATCATACTACAGTGATATATGCGCACCCATGTTATAGCAGCAGTTTGTAATAGCTAAATCTTGGAAACAGCACAATTCCCCATCAACTGGAGACTGGATAAAGAAGATGTGGTTTTTCTATTAAAATGGAATACTACTCAGCCATAAAGAATGAGAAACTAGAGTCATTCATAGGAAAATAGCTGCATATCGAGGTCATACTCTTAAGTAAAATAAATAAGTCATACATGTGTAAATACCAAATAGTTACTCTGGTGTGAAAAACTAAAAGTGTAAATAAGATCCAAATGGTATAACTGACAATGTGAAATAGGAAAAAAAGAGCTAAAGGTGTAGGGGAAGTGGGAAGGGTAGGGGAAAGGAAATAAGGGAAAAGAAAAAAGTACATAGAAACAAAGTTTTTGTAAATAGGGAAGGGAGGAGGGGATGAAGGGAGGGCAGGGGTAAGGGGAAAAAATGAGAACCAAGACCTGTCATGTAAAGGCACAAGATCCCAATGATGAAAGTAACTGTACTGTATACCTAAAAAGTACCAATAAACTCAATGAGAAAAAAAAATTTTGGGGGGTACTGGGGATCAAACTCAGGACCTTGTATCTGCAAGGCAGGCAGCAGACCCACTGAGCTAAATCCCTGGCCCTGGTGTGTAAAAATTTAATGGAGGAATTAAGAATTACATGTATAAAAGACAAATCTCAGTCTGTATGTTATATACATAAGGGCTTGATGGGCCAGGGATTTAGCTCAGTGGTTCCACCACCTGCCTTGCAAGCGCAAGGACTTGAGTTTGATGCCGGGTACCAAAACAAAACAAAACAAAAAAACCATAAGGGCTTGATATATTTTTTAGAGGTATACATGCCACCATCATTACACTACTTTTCCCCCCCTTATTTTTCAATGAGAAAAACTGATTTGTCATTAGTCCAAGTGCTGGCATTTAGGAATTAGTGCCAATCTCCATTTCAATAAACTCTAGCCAAAAACAACACTTACTAATCTGACATGGCTCAAAATACAAATTCCATAGAAAGTCTTTTCCCAGAGACCACCTAATTGGAATTAATTTTGTTTCCTTTTATTGATAGCAGTTTCTTTCCAATTTTCCACTTACCAGATTTCTGAATGATAATAAACACTGTCTCTGCCTGCCTGATATCTCAAATTCAAGTCTTTTAGTGACTTGGATAATGGTTTTACGTTTCACATGTATGTTCAATTTGATTCACTCATGACTACTTACTATAAGACACTGCCTTAAAAGATGCATGTGTGCCAGGGATTTAGCTCAGTGGTTCTGTTGCCTGCCCTGCAAGCTCAAGGTCCCAAGTTTGATCCCCAGCACCAAAAAAAGAGTTGCATTTGTTTTTATTATCTGTACTATAAATTGATTATAGAAAGAAATTTCCCATTATAAAACCTAGAATTTACTCTTCAAAGTTTACAGTTCCTCCTCAGCATCATTTTTAATTACACAAAAATATAAGAAAATAACTTTGAACAATGTAAAACAAATATATTTTATTCTAAAGAAATATACTCATGCTATCATGTTTGAGATGGGATGATTACTCCGCATATAGGAGTACAGAATAAGACATGAGTTAACTATGCCTCCTATTGACTGATGAATATTTTGAAAACATTCAAAGAGTACAAGCCCTCTGTATCCATGGGTTCCACTTCCATGGATTCAACCAATGATTAGAAATATTTTTTTAAAATTATATCTGTCCCGAACACATAGATACCCTTTTTCTCACCATAATTTCCTAAACAAGTATAACAACAACTATTCACATGGTCTGCATTGTGTTAGGTGGTGTATGAATTCCAGAGATTATGGGGGAATATACAAAAGTTAATACTACATTATTTTCTATAAGGAATTCGGGCATCTGAGATTTGGGGATCTGTGGGGATCCAGCAGTTTCCAAGGGACAGCTATATGTAGAAAATGACCCATGCAAATGCACCATATTAAAAAAATGCTTTTACAACACAAAATGGGTTTTGTGAAAAGGTTTTTGAAAATCTTAAATATATTTAAGATAGGATTTATTACAGAAAGGGAGAGCTTAAGAAGTGGGTCACCACATTACACAACTTGAAGCATCATTCACTTTATATTCCACATCTGTGGTTCTCAAACAGGGTCAATTCTGCCCCATATAAGACATGTGTAAAGGTAAGGAGATAGTTTTGGTCATCATGACCTGGGATGGAAGAGATATTACATCTCTTCTGACAGGTACAGGTTAGGAATGTTGTTAAATATCTGACAGTGCAAGGTCAGCTCCATAAAATGCAGAGCTTTCTAGCCCATAATGTTAAATATTGAGGTTGCAAAATTTTGTTCTACATAAATGCTCCCTCTCAAGTTGTGCAACAAGTCAGCTTTATGAGTTTTATCTGATAAAGAAATGGATTTGCTTAATATAATTATTTGTGTAAACTTTGATGAATGGGGCAAAGCAGAAATTAAAACTCTGAAATCAAAGAAAACAACTTTTAGCACTCTTCATTTGGGCTAGAAAACTGTAGGCTACAGAGTTTCATATCTTCATCTTCTACCTTTATTCCAGGAATGATATAAGCTATGCATTAAACTCTGATCTGCTAATGATACTTTTAAACCTACTGGGCTTTCTCATCATACCTGTGTTTCCATTTCCATCATCCTTTGTTTTATTTCTCTAATTTCTGCCTGTGTTTCAGCTTCTCTAAGTCGAATGGTCATCAGTTCATCTTGTAACTCATTCACAGCATTTTTCTTAGGAGGGTCTTTCCATCTCCCAGTTGTACGAGATAAGTGGCGCTAAAGCGTAAAAAATATTTCCACAAACACTGTCAGTATGCAGATAAGAGCCTTACAGAGCGTGTTATTTCAGAGTTGTACTATATTAAGCATTTCCCCAGAAAATCCCCAGTAAATTTTAAAAGTTTTCTTAAAGTTTAAAAATTTTAAAAGTGATGGCAATATCAAAGCCTATTTCAGTCTTTTTCAGATGTTTTCTCCGTCCTTCCCACCCACTCAAACCAAGATCACTATTTTGAAACTATGTCATTTATTAGAACTCTCTTCTGTCCTTTTTTTTTTTTCCTCGTGGTTATAGCAGATATCCCTGCCCAGAACTGGTGGGCTATAAGTGGCTAATGCGTCTTGCTTTCTTTAAGTTGGCTACACTGCTTTATACTGGGAGTCAGACTAAAGCCTTATGTGACTCAAGTGCGCATGTCAGGTAGCAGAGTTGGGCTAGCATTGCTCCTTTGCTAATGGCTATCACCAAGGCCAAAGTCTTGGTCTGTGAAGTGGCAGGGCTCAGCTGAGTTACGTTCAGCTGAAGTCAGCATGACCCCAATTAAAATCCTTTCCCCTGAATTCTCACTGACTTTGTAGGCTGCTTGTTAATTGCGCCTAGTCCCAATACCGGTTTCTTCTATCCTAGCAAGATAAGCAGTGCTGACTCCCTGACAGCCCTACCTGGTGGCATCATGCCAGGGGTGGCAGTAATTCACTAGATGACTTCAAAGCTCCCAGGCTCCCTATTCCTTCTCATGATTGTACTCAATAAATACTGGGTGTGCTTGGGGGCTTTTTTTGTTGCCATCAGGTCCTAAGACTCAGCCTCATCATTCACTCTAAGTCTCATTTCCTGTCTATTCTTTAATTTGCCTTGAACTGTGGTGGCTCACAGGCCAGAACCCACAGCAAAAGTCCTAATAACGTCCCCTTCCCCATTCCTACAGGTGGTGGTAACTGGAAATCGAACCCAGGGCCTTCATACTGAACTACATTCTCAGTCCTTTTTTTTCTTTTTGAAAAAGGGTCGCACTGGTGACTATGTCACCCATACTGAACTCAAACTTGTGATCCTCCAGCTTCAGCCTCCCAGAGTGCTGGGATTATAGATGTGTACCACCACACCTGGCTTCTTGTCTATCTTACAGATCATTGCATATTATTCCTTGTCAACAGTTTCCTTCATACATGGATAAACTTGGGGGCATATAATTAGCTAAATGTCATTTATGTAGAAAAAAACATTTTCAAAAGAAGTTATAAATTTATATTGGCATCATCCTTCTGATATTTTACATTGAACAACAATGCATTAATATTATCTTAAGAAAAATGTACACTATATAAAAGGAATATTTTCTTCTGGCTCTTTAGAATGGTTTATATAAGGCATAATGATGCAACAATAAAAATATGACCTACTTTGTAATTTTCATTTCAGTGTAAGACTAAAAAATAGAAAAATAGCTTCAATGTAATTTCAACTCATAAATGTGCTCCAATTTTGACAGTAAGAAAGGTTTCTCTCACTTTAAACTCATCTACTGTTGATCATCAATTACTTCAAACTAATACCAACTGGTGTTTTACTTTCTTTTTAAAAATACATAATAATATACCTGCCAATGTTCTTCCAAATCCTTAACTTGCTGTCTAAGTTCTTTCAAACCCATTATGGCTTCTGCTTCTCTCAGTTTCACAGCAATGAGTTCCTCCTGAAGTCTTGCAACATTATTCTCATCAGGAAAAGAGTTGTTCCTCTAAAATGAGAGAAAATTTAATTTGAGATTTTTAAATAAATGAAGCATGAGCTCTTTTGTATCATATATAATTGTATTTAATTTTATACAGCTTTATGCAAATACAATTCAAACCATAAAAATGACTCTTTGAATATTCAAGTCAGTGTTTTCATTCACAAAGTTGTTCAACCATCATGATAATATAATTTCATAATACCTTTTTCACTCAAAAAAGAAACCCTATGACAATTAGTGATAATTCTTCATTCCTCATTTTCCCAATATACTAGCCCCTGGCAACCATAAATCTATTTTCTAGGTCTAGGGATTTGCCTATTCTGGACATTTCACATGAATGCAATCATATAATATGAGGCTTTTGGTAACTACCTTACTACAATATTTCAAGGCGCATTAATAAATAAGCCTATATGGATATACTACACTATATTGATATACTTCATTGTATTCATCCATTCATTAGTTAATGAAAAATCTGGGTATTTTTGCAGTTTTGTAACTATTATGAATATTGCTGCTAAGAATATTTGTATACAAGTTTTTGTGCAGATGTACATTTTCAGTCCTCTTAAGTACATGTTTAGGAACAGAGCTGCTGGCTTAGGTCTGGGAATTTAGGTCAGTGGCACTGCACTTGCCTTGCCAGCAAAATGTCCTGAGTTCGATACCTGGTACCAGGAGGGGGGAAAAAAAAGAACTGCTGGCACAGGTGGTAATCATTTTAAATTTAATTCAGGAAATGATAAGACTTTTCCAAAGTAGCTGCACTGTTTTACATTCCCACCAAGACTATATGAGTGTAACTTTATTTTTTTTTTTGAAGACATAAAGTCTACCTCTACTTTGCCAACAGTAATAGAAGTTAAGGATCACCTCTTTAAAATGCTTTTCTACGTGGCAATGAACTTATTAACTCTCATTAGAACTCCAAATGAAGTATGAATATCATTTAATTTTTTTTTGGTACTGGGGATCGAACTCAGGTCCTCACGGTTGCAAGACAGGAGGTGAAACCACTGAGCTAAATTACATTTTAAAGATTGAATGAAAAGAACTCTCCAAGTCTATTTGGACTAGGTAATCTAAATATATATTTCACAAGTACAACAATTAGATCAATTTTTTTTCCTACTGTTAAGACCCATGTGGGTAGTGCATTATTAAACTGCTCTGGAGAGTTACAAAGAGATTTAAATTAGGCCCCAGGAAAAGTACCTAGGTAAATTAAGGTATTATGGTATTGAGATTTCAAGGCCTGATTCTACAGTTTTCTATCTCTAAAACAAACGTGAATATTAGCACCCAAGAATTATGCAATAAACTTATTATCATAAATTAATATATCTTCTTATGATGGACTTAAATATTTTAATTGAAAATAATAAAATTATTGTTTATGCATTAAGAAGATTGCTAGAAGGCAGATACCAGTGAAAAGTTGATGTGGAAAGAGAGGTATAGCTGTAGGCATGTCCAGCCAGGGCCTTGACATGACCTCAGCCACTTGGGCCAACAGGCCCCAGACAAAGACCCTCCTGGAAAAGAGATGCACAGGTGCCCAAGCAATAGCCACAGACCCAGCCCAATACCAGTGGTAAATGCCCGCAGACACTAGACAGAAGCCCACACAGAAACCAGTGCCTGGAAATGCACCGCCCCCAGCCAAAGGCCCTCCCAGACTACAGCTAAAAAGGAGGTCAGGCCCTAGCCAGAGGCACACCTAGGCACCAACCCAAATGCACACAGACCCCAGCCAGAACCCCACCCGGACAACAGGACAGTGCAGGGACCCAGAAGGCCACCACTCTGAACACAGGAATTGGTACAGTGGGGAGCAGCAGAGAAAAAGCCACTTGGTCACTTCCTGAGAATTAAAGACCACTGGGTGAGCAAAAAGTTGCCTCAATAAAGGCGCAGCAGGCTGCATCTGTTGAAATGAGAAGGCACGTAAACAAGTCTCAAAAACAAACTCTCAGATCACCTAAGGCAACCCCAAAGAGCAATGAGATGGAACAATCTCATACTCAACCACCTGGACTACCTGAACTGGCAACGAAAGAGGATCTGGAAAACATGATATCAGAAACAAGTTCTCAGATAACAACAGAGACTGTGTTCATAGTGCAAGACATAATTAATAAACAGAAATAAATTCTCAGATAACAACAGAGACTATGTCCACAGTGCAAGACATAATTAATAAATCTAGAGCAGACACAGAAAAAAAAAATAGAGGACGGGGGGGATGGGGGACATGACAGAATCACAACACAGGAAACAAATGGAATCCATAAAACAGATAAAAACAGATTTCAAGGAGATTAAAAACTCCACTGAAAGTTTATGCAGTAGAATGAGCCAATGTGAAGACAGAATTTCAGATACAGAAGATAGGATTGCAATTAGTGACCAGGAAAAGAAAATTTCTTAAAAATAGTAAGGGACCACAAGAAATCAATCCAGCAGCTGCTAGATGATGCAAAGAAGAATAACATAAGACTGATGGGAGTCAATGAACAAACAGGAGAGAAGGCAGACAACACAGAAAAACTGTTCACAGAAATAATGGCAGAAAACTTCCCAAGCAGGGGGAAAGAATTTTCCCATACAGTTAAGTGAGGCATACAGGACTCGAATTAGCCATGATCAACAAATCTACATGTAGGCATATAAAAGTCAAGATCTCAGAAACCCAACAGAAGAACACAATCCTATGAGCAGTTAGAAAAAAGAAACAAAATCTCATACAAAGGAGAGCCCACCACAATCACACCAACACAAACCTTGAAGGCAAGAAAAGCTTGGAGTGACATACTTCAAGCCCTAAAGGAAAACAAATTCCAACCAAGAATGATGTACCCTGCAAAACTATCTTTCAAAATTGATGGAGAAATAAAATATTTTCATGACAAAAAGCACCTCAGAAACTTCATGAATACCAAACCACCACTCAAAAAAAATTTAAACAGTATCTTAGGAAAACACAATGAGAACTACAGCCCCAGAAAGCCCAGCAGAATGAATCCATCAGGCACAACAAGAAATTAAATGTGAAGTGGGAGCATCCAACAAAAAGAAAAAGTCATGACAAGGACTAATCAATACGTATCAGTTATAACCATCAATGTTAATGGTCTCAATTCACCAATCAAAAGAAAAAGAATGGGTCAAGAAGCAAGATGCAATGATAGGCTGCATACAAGAAACACAGTAAATTCAAAAAGAAACTCATATCTGGGTGTGGAAGTGCACATCTATAATCCCAGCACTAGGGAGGCTGAAGCAGGAGGATCACTGTGAGTTCAAGGCCAGCATGGGCTACAAAGTGAGTTCCAGGTCAGTCTCAACTACTAGTGAGACCCTGTCTCAAAAAACAAACCAAAAAAACAAAACAAAAAGAAACTCAGAGACTTAAAGTTAAAGGTTGGAAAACAATACTCCATGTGACAGGAACTCCCTCAAAAGCAGGAGTAGCTATCCTATTAGCAGATCAAATGGATTTCAAACCAACACTAAGAGGGACAAAGATAGACACTACATCCTTGTAAAGGGAAAAATCCAAGAGGAAAAGATGATAATCATGAATATATATGCACCAAATATTAATATGCCCAACGAGATCAAACAAATACTAACAGACATGGAAAATCAAATAGGCAATACAAAAGTAGTGGGGGAACATCAATACCCCACTGTCACAAATAGATAGGTCAACCAGACAGAAAATGAATGAGGAAATTCTAGAACTCAATCGAACTCCTGAACAAATTAACTTAACAGATGTTTACAGTGGGTTGGGTATTTAGCACGGTGGTATCACTGCCTGCCTTGCAACACAAGGGCCCAAGTTCAATTCCCAGTACAAAACCAAACAAACAAACACACAGATATTTACGGTATTCTACCCCACAAAATCAAAACACACATTCTTTTCCACTGCATATGGGTCATTCTCCAAAAGAGACCATGTACTTGTTCATAGAATATGGGTTTTTTTGGTTTATTTTATTATTTATTTATTTTTTTTTTTTTGACACAGGGTCTCACTATGTAGTTGAGACTCACCTGGAACTTACTATGTAGCCCAGGCTGGTCTCGAACTCACAGTGATCCTCCTGCCTCAGCCTCCCAAGTGCTGGGATTACAGGCGTGCGCCAGGACGCCCGGGTGTTGTTCATGGAATATGTTCAAGTAAGTTCAAAAGAACTGATGTTAGCCTCTGTATATTATCAGACTACAATGCAAGGAAACTGGAGATCAACAGCAAAAGAAATGACAAGAATTTCATAAAAACATGGAAATTAAACAACACACTTCTGAATAACCAATGGGTCACAGAGGAAATTAAAGAAATCAGGCAGTTTCTACAATTAAATGACAATGTCAAATACAACATATCACTCTGGTGTGACAAAGTGCAAATAAGTACTAAAAGGTATAATAGATGTGAAATAGTAAGAAAAGGGCAAAGAGGAGGGGAAAGTGGGAGTGATAGGGGAAAGGAAAGGGAATGGAATTAATATGAGAAAATGAAAAAAATAGAAACAAAGTCTTTGTAAATAGGGAAGGGTGGGAGGGTTGAAGGGACAGCAGGGGAATGGGGAAAAAAATAAGAACCAAGATAGATTACATAAAGGTGCAAATTCCCAATGATGAATGTCATTATATTGTATACCTAAAATGTACCAATAAAATTAATAAGAAAAAATACAACATATCAAAATCTATGGGACACAATGAAAGCAGTGTTATGGGGGAAATTCATAACAGTGAATACTCATATTAGGAAAACAGAGCAAACTCAAACAACCTGATGCTGAACCTGAAACTTCAATAAAAAGAACACCAGAACAAACCCAAAGCTCATGCAAGTAAGGAAATTATAAAGATCAGGGCAGAAATCAATGCAATACAGACTAAGAGAATATAAATGAATGAATGAATAAATGAATGAAGCAAAGAGTTGGTTCTGTGAAAGAATAAACAAAATTGGCAAA